AAAGATAATTTAAGAAAATAGATTTATAAAAAAAATATTAGGAAAACTAAGTTTACTTCCCTTGAGAGCCAAAATCTCAAGAATTTCATCAATTATTGAGGAAAATTCTAGAATTGAAACTTTGTATCAGAAATTTCCATTTCACCTAAATAAATTCAAATAAAATAGTTTTATTAGAAAGTAAATTTCACCTTTGAAAACAATATAAATAAAATAAAAACAAAAAGGCATACCTTTCCAAAATTTCATTTCTGCAAATTGAATTACAAAGACTATCGGTACATTAAAATTTGCTTCCATTGAAGATATTATTTCTTCAGCAAATTCTTCCCATGTGGTACACTCGTATTTTTAAAATTTTTTTCCCACTACCGAAAGAGAGGTTATGAAATTCAACAAACTAAAATAAAAAATTTTTAATTTTCCTTAAATTTTTAATTTAGGATATACACCGAAGCTCATTTAGTTCAACTATAATCAGTGTAGATCCACACTTGGTTTGTTTCTTTCCCACCAATGATTATGAGAGCAAACCAATTGCATCTATAAAATTTTAAGAAATGACAGTACAAATTTAGATAACATAAAAATATAACAATTTAAGGATAAACATTTTGAAAGTGAAAAACCTTAAGAATAGTCGACCATACCAACTAAAAAGGCATTTTCTTTTGTTTGACTCATATTCTTGTCATAATCCACAAAGGAAAACTCATATTTTGAAATGTTGGAATCATGCACTAAAGATAGCATTGTTCTAAAGTAGAAAACAATCTTTTAATCATGAGTAGTGGGCCTAAAAGGATTGACATTCATACAAACACCAAAAGCAAAAAAATATAAACATGTTCTTCCTTTAATAAATCTTTGGTTTAAAGAGAAGCCCTTGCAGTAGCTTGAATTCTTCCACCTAAGTGTAATAACCATAAAAATGAAAAAAGAGGGAGAGAAGATAAAGGAATAAAAGCATAAAAATGTTCAAAAAAAAGGAGATATTATAAACCATTACATGTTCATTTAAAAGGACCATCTCAACATTTTCTCCTAGACATGGTTTCTTTGTTTCTAAAGCCTAATAACTCTAACCTTTAACCTCTATTGCTCCTTTGATGGATTCATGTCAGTAATGTTATCAAACCTCCCAAACATGATGGAAAGAAATCACTAATATTCAACAAAAACATATAGCTGAAAAAAGACATACTAAGCTTTTATATACATACATAAAAGCCTCTCCAACTCCCAAGCTATTATTGAATGGGTAATAATATCAAAAAGTTGGAAAAAGAAATAGCCTAAGCATTTAAAATGGAAAAGGGGAATAATACAATGTCTTGGGGAAGTAAAAAGTTAATGCCTATTCATTCTTCAATTTTTTAAGAAAAGTAATAAATGAAAATAAAAAATGAATAATCTAAGAATTATGTTAAAATGTTGAAAAAAAACATACAGTTCAAAGGACTATACATAAAGGTTTGAGCTCTAACCTTTAATACCAAATTTCATTTTGTTAGTCACACACACACACACAAACACACATAAATATAATAAACATCTCTTAAGTTCCTTTTTTGAAAACATGTAAACCAGCACAGAGGCAGCCATGTTTAAAAATTCTGCAACAGTGAAAAGACTTACTAGTTTATAAGGAATAAGTTTCAGGACAACTTACGGATAGACAAACAGTAAGAACTCAAGTTCAGGCTATACAAAACGAATATGTCTACTAGTAATAAGTAGCTATAATTCACTTATATAGATTCCCTGGAATGGATTTCATGAAAACCTTGGACCACAATAAAGTTTTGGGCAGATACACGTTTACCTTACAAGCTTGAAGAAGCTTGTTCAACTCAATATCCTCACGCAGCTCTTGGACTTCCAAGGCCATTTATGCTTCTTAAGCTAACCTAAAACAGGTAAACAATACACTATGAGCTGTAAAGCCCAACAAGCATGAGTTATAACTTATGGACCATAACTGAATATTTAATTTGACAAAACAAGTTCCATCAATTAACTTATATTATTCTCCAATATAAAACTGTGTCAAGATACCAGGATTAGGCAGGCATTGGCTTATAAGTTCCATCAATTAACTTATAAACTGTGTCCAATAATCCAGTCTCTAAATCAGAACTATCTAATTTAAGACAGGTGAGTTCAATCCAAGCATATGCTTACATGGTCACCATTCTAAAACAAACCAGAAAAGATGTTCCTTTGCATCAGGCAACATCAAATCAGTCCCATCGAATACCGCTCATCAACACAAAACAATTTCATTAGTAACACATATTTATATATGACATAAATATTTCCAAGAATCATTGGATAATAGGAAGGTAGCATTATGCTTGTTCAAACATGGAGATGAATGCAAGTTCTTATCTATGGATTTTTCCTTGTGTGTGTACATCCCACCATACCAATGGTCCAGCCAATGGTTCTTCCTACTGTGCAGAGGTCTAAACAACAAGATCAGCCCCAAATAACTTTAGGATCAGCCCCAAATAACTTTAGGAGCAGCCCCAGAAAACTTTAGGAGCCCTAGGTATCATTCAAATAACCTTCTTTCTTTACTTTAGTTATGCTAGGAGCATCCTTCTTTTACTCCAAGTAACTTTAGGAGCATCATCATTCTTTACTCCAGGTAACTTTAGGAGTATCTTACCAAGCTTAACAACTTAGGTATCATACCACAGATTCATATGCATATTGATGCAATCTTTCACATTAAGTGCGTGTACTTCATATTCAGTTCAGTCCTCAATAACTCATGTTACTCTGAACTGAGCATTTAATTACAGATTGTCAATTCCAAGCATCGCTAAGCAAGTCCTATGTCATTAGGCTCACCTACCAGTTTTGAACCCAAACAAAACAACATGCATACATATTTAGACTCCCATAGAACTCAGTGATCAAAATCAATAATTCACTGTAATCTGAATACTTATTTCCAGATTTCAAGTACAGAGCCAATTTCACAAGACATCAAAGTCTTAAACATGCCTTGACAAACAGATGGCTATTACTAGTTCACTGTTTTCTTTATGCATGTAATGAATTCGTCTTTTGATGCTCAGTTCAATGGTTGAATCATGATATTCAACTTATCTTAAGTCTAATTTACTTTAAATCAACCAATTTACCATCTTAACTAACAAGTAAAAACTATAGGTACATAAGCCATAAACCATACTTACCTCGCAAGTCCATTACTTTCTTGCTAGAATCCCTTGGATTTTCTTCAAATTCTCCCGCTGTTTTGCAGCAGCTCCTTTGGTGTATTCTCCTTTTTTTGGTTCGACCCACCAGCACAAGAATTGAACAAACATTTCTTCATTTCTTCCAGTTTTTACTGCCACTGCAAACTGCAAAGTTACCCCAAATTTTCTCTCATTTCTTTCGGTTGAATAGAAAAAGGAAATGGAAATTGTTAAAGTTGCAAAGCTTCTCTCGACTGAAGAGAAGAAATGGAGTCAGAATGTAGTAAATGGCATTAAATGGGATTTTAATTCAACCAAAACCATGGGCTGGTTTTGTTGGTAGAATCTGCCTATGCCAACCTCGTTAATCTCAAGCTGGTGGCTTTGGAAATAGCAGCCCACTAACTCAAAGTTTTGGGTTTGCTATGCAGACCTTTAACTTTCAAATTATTCAACTAAGTCCACTCTATCTAAAGACTCTTATTTAATATGTAAACAACTAAGGACAGGGATGTTTCACTAAAAGAGATTCAGATCTCACCCACCTATTGCAAAACTCTTTTTCCCTGTTGGGATTAGGCCCAACACCCACTTCAGGCCACATGCTGCAAGCCCAATCACACATCCATTGGCCCAAGGTGAAGAGATATGCCCACGTGGACAATAACATGTGGACCTATCAGGTAAATACATGTTTGGTTTCATGTCAACAATTGGGGCTATAAATACCCCTCAATTACCTTCGATGAAGATAATTAATCTCTACACTTCTCACTCTACAATTACTCTCTTGAGAGCATCTCTCTGTAGGATACCAAGTATTGCTGATTTGAGCGTCGGAGTGTTTTTCTCGAAAAAACACCTTCGGGATTTTCAGGTGTGAAAGCAGCTAAAAACTTCAACAGTGTTAAATCGTGAAGCTGCCCAAACACTCCCCATCCCTTTCTTACTCATGGATCCCTCTTACTTTCATCACCATGCTTTGATCCTGGCTTCTCCCTCTCTATCTGCATCCCCTCAATCCAAATTCATTGTCTCTCCTCTCGGAAGAAGAATCAAAGGAAGAAGGGATATGAAGAAAAGGAGTCGGCGGAGAAGAGATTAAACCTGAAATAGATAACACGACATCTTAGGAGGGTTAATCTCAACAGATTTTGGTTAACGTGTTATTTTTATAATAGTAAATGTGATCCATTGTTCATTTTTTTAGCATTCAAACCTAAGGTTAGAAAATAAGAACGACCTACCTAGGCAGACTTCTGGCTAGAGGCTCAGACACTGAACCATATATATTGAAGGAGCATCAGCTAAAAGATATAATTTTGGAGCCCCCATGAAATTCTCCATAGCTTTCCTCGACATGGGACAGAGCCACTGAAAAGAAAAAGGGTTCAATTTCTAGTCTTAAAAAAATAATAATAATAATAATAAATAAAAATAAAAAAGAGATGCAATTAGCATGAAGGCAAAAGGAAATTCAACAGCTACGAACTTTGTGGGTATGTTGTCATAAATAAATTACGAGCTAAGCTTCATTGTGGCAATAATACTCAATCAACGACGAAAATATTGAATTTATGATATTTTTGATTGAACGCTTGAGGTTCATTATGAAGACAACATATTCGAGAAATCAAGAAGCCCGTATTTGGAAGATAAAAATTGAACTGATTAGCAAAAATTGAGAAAGTCATGACATTGTAAATATACTGCCACAAATCCAAATTAAATGTCATGGCTGGGATAGGCTTGAATTGAATTGGAGAAGACGAAGGAAGGCAAGCAGAATCAATCCAGCAAAAAAACCTGTCAACATAAATTGGTAACTGCGCCAACTCAACCTTTTCATAGCATAATAAAATATGATATGCATTAACAATGAACCAACTCAATGATTTTCAAAGGAAAAGCATAACCTGATAAGGAAATGGAAACTACCTGTGTGTGCTTGATCTTGCAAATAAAAGCACCAATTGCCTAATTGGAAAATTGCTGTCTACTTGATTTAATTGTAATATTTGTAGCTCATCACCATCCAAACCATCCACAGCCAATTCAAGAAAGACTAAAAGAAGCTAGAATCAACCACAGTCAACAATAACCAGAGTCCTCAAAATCTCACAAACCATGTCAAAACACAGACTCCAAACATGACAGAAAGACCAAGGCCAACCATACTTGAACACAGACAACAACAGTTAAAACCCAACAAAATACTTTTGATCAAAATCTTATTTGAGAACAAAGTGACAAAGAACACATAATGAGTCTTCGATAAACACCTGGCTTAATTCATAATTATCTGCACAACATCTTCCTATTGATATTTTCTAATTTTTTCTTTGATAGCTTGGACATCCAATCTTCAATCAATTTAAATAAAAAGTATTCTTTTATTAGTAATTACTTTTAAATTGGAAAGTAGTACAGATAATTTACTAAACTTACTCATATCCGCCACTGCTTCCCAATAATCATTGTAGTCTTTTAAGCATTGTCATAATCATGATCAGCATTGTCTTCTTCCTCTGCTGTTTTTCTCTCTGCTGCTCAGCCTCACGAACTCATCAGCAGAGCCACAGCAAGACCCTTCATCATAACACAATTCCAAAAATACCTCCAAATCAACACAGCCCAACCAAATGCAGACTACAGAAAGTCCAACGATTTCATTTTCTCCCAAGCCAAATTGATCTCTTTAGAATCCCAGTCCCTTGAATTCATCAAGGGCAAATCAATCATCCTCCTCAAATGGCCTGGTTCCTACACTGCCTCGGCAAATCATGCATTTTTCAGCCATCCCTATACTTTCTCCTTCTTTCTCTCTCTCATTGCCACTGCTTTCGTCTTTCCCTTAGCAGAAAATGTGGCCAGCCCAGAAAAATGTCAAATGATCCTTGCTGCACAATATTTTACCTTAAAAACAGAAGTAGAAAACAAATTTACAGAGATACCATTACACAGCTCCAAGGAACAGTATTTCCTCCACTGTTCATATCAACAGTAGCCACATACTACCGTTCCTCACAACAGTGTCCATGTGTTAACAGAAAGTGCACACTGCCAGGCCTTTCAAAAATGTTATGAAAATTCATAAAATCCAGTGAATGGTAGCAGTTAGAAGGGGCAATTTCGGGCATCCATCAAACTGGACTTTATATGTACGTAGTTGATTGATGATGATTGACAAGTTGGTAAATACAATACGGTAATAAACCTCCTAAATCTGAACATTCTTCAACAATACAAAATTATCATGGAGTGAACAAAATTCAGGTACAAAATGGTAAATGCATAGTACATTCCTGGTTCAATTTTACTAGGGATAAGCTTGCTATTAAAATCCAAATATACAGAGAACACTGATTCCTGTACTCACAAAGCAGCAAGATGAGCCAACCATGGAAGCAACTTTTCATGAACTAGGTCAGGTTTGTCATCATGGGGGCAGTGTCCTACCCCTCCCAACACATAAAGGCTTACATTTGAAAACTGAGAGGGCAGGGAAGAGAAGAATTTACCGACAGGCCCATCAAGAGGGGTGAAAGGATCTTGGTCACCCCATAGAACTAGTACAGGTAGGCAAATTTTTTGCATCAACTGTGCAGGATTTGGCCCTGGGGGTCCTGTGACAATTGAGAAGAAAGCATCAAGAGCACCTTCATCATTTGCTGGTTCACTAATGATCTGCATATATCAGGTTCTAAACATGGATAGCAAGTAAAACATTATCAACAAATGATATATTCATTAAGAAGAAGAAGAGTAATACCTGAACCAATTCATCATCCACAGATTCTTTGTTTCCATAAATGGATAGTAAAACATTCTTCAGATTATCTCTGCATTGGCCATACCGCCAACATAAGTAGCCAATCATTTAGTATTGAACTTTGGATAGTTATTACTCCAACAGAGCAGAATACCTCTGTCTGACACGTTCAAAGATTGCTGAAGCAATCCGTCGTTGCTTTAACAAGAAATCAATGAACAAAAGCAAAGGAAATATGAGCTTGATCCGCCAATCATCGACAATTGCCTTGTTGTTCATTCCACCAGCACAGTTTAACAGCACAAGCCCATGAACCAGGTTTCGACTAGATTCTTCATGGCAACAGTACAATGTCAAAAGGCTAACCAGTCTACCTGATATATTTCTTTGAAAGCAAAAAGGCAGGGAAAAGATTCTTTCAGCCATCAAGAAGTTAACTACCTGAGGCAGCAATTACACAAGCAAGACTTCCAACAGAGTTGCCAATAAGCACAGTGGGCTTCTGAACTACTTCATCCAAGAAATCTAAAATTAACTGTGTACAATGAGTTTGGA